TTCTAAACTCTGTTCTTGGTTCAAATTTTGTTTTGTGTGTCTATTTTCCCTCAAAATTGGTTCAATCATTATCTTTAATTATACCAAAAGATTTGCATATATTATTTGTTAGCGCCTTTGTCCCTTGGTAGAGACTAGTAGAGAGGAACAAAGTCATTTAGATCCTTCTGATTAGGGAAGAAAAAATGTCAGTGTTCATGCTCACTTCAATTTACTTTATAAAATTGAAGAAGAAAAGATAGTTTTAACTAATGGAAAATTAAAATTGTTATTCTAACTGTGCAAGGTGAAAATTTTTATTGTCTTATTTTACTTTATAAAAACCGCAAGAAATATAAATTTTTTAGACTACTAAAGGATATTAAAGGAAAGTATCTACTCTGGATTTAAAACTTGAAGGACAATTTTAAAGTATATGAGGTACTCAGAGTATGAGTCGGAATTTTTGTGACTAAGACATTGCATGATGCGCCCAAGATGTCACAGTTAGGAAATGGCAGAGATGGACCTTAATCCTCAGCGTCCTGACTGCCCGCACTCTTTCCACTCTTATCTGGCTGGGATGCTGGATGGAAGATGTGACATATAAACCGGACAAGAAAGAATCATGATCTTTAATTTGCAGACAGTTCAATGTAATCCAGGGGTAATGTGGCCAACCTAACACAAATACTGTTTAGGCTTCATTAATGGAAATACGGAGTGTATCACTCCCCACTGTGATAATCCAAGAGCTGTTCCATTCCGAGATGCTTTAATTCTCTCCAACCCTTGCATTCTTCCTGAAAAGTTTCCAGAATAGATTGACTTGAATTCTGAACTACAGCAAAACATGTTAAAGTGGTATTGTAAGTTTCTAAAGACAATCTATATTATGAAACAAGACTGACTCTAAATTAGGCTTATGAGAAATTATAATAAATGGCAGAGAATTGGAAGCTTAAAAGCATGCTAAATTTATGCAAAAAGGAACATGTTCAATAGAAAAACTAATGATTATGGACTTTTCCTTAAATTCAAAAGGGAAACTATGACAAGATGTAGAGTATGTTATACTGAGAAACTTTATTCTTCAGGAAAAACTTGAAACCAGGTCAATGTTTGTTTCAAGTGCTTCTCCGACCTGTGTCTTACTCATCGTGGATCTTCAAGGAATCCTTCTTGATTGATTTGGTGGCCCCCCTGCAGGTGTCCCCAGAAGCATCTCTCATTATAGGAAGCTCTGGTTCTTTACCCACGCAGAAAAAAATTCCTCTAGCCTAGAAGTTACCCAGTTAGGCAGAGGGGAAAGGAGATTGGAATTTTATATACAGTCCACAAACGTATGTACATGAAAGTACCTGGCTCTTCACAGATGCTTAAAATTGTTTAATTTTTTTAAATCGTGTTCTTCAGAGCCTCCTCAGAGATCAGAGTAGAAAATATCTTGTATTAGGTATAAATCTATGTTTATGCAACCATTAGCATTTTTTTAATTGACATTTAACATTATATTAGTTTCAGGTATACAACACAGTGATTCAATAAACCCTTAGTATTTAAGTAAATATAACAATTGTACTAGTAAATGTTCTTTAGGTTTCTGGCAGTCTCCTAAAATGTACTTTTCTAAACCGTTGAATGTAAACACACTGGTGAAACATGAGGTTAGCTGGTTCTCCCCTGACATCTAGTGTTCCTGATACATTACTGCAAAACATCTCAGGTAATTTTAAACTACTATTAGAATGAAAATGTTATATGGAATAAAAATTTTCTTCATTTTAGAAAGAAATTTGTTAAGTGGAATAAAATTACAAACTAAATAACAACAAAGCTTCTGATTCTAAGGAGAAAAAGACCTTTTTCTCTTAATTCTTCCCATATTTCCTATTCTGATAGGTAGGACAGAGAGACCCTGCATGCATGCACAGCTGGTCCATTATTGCAGAGGGAAGGAGGGGAAATGAGGGAAAGGGTACTTACTAAGGGTCTACTGTGTGCCAGGCACTGGGTTTGAATACTTCAGTGTGAGTTATCACCGTGCTTTGAGAAGCTACAGGACCATTCTACCACAGAAGCAGCCTGACAAGGTATTGAGGGTTTTCCTACCCTGCAGAGTGGAAATGAAAACACAGCCAACATCTCTTCGTAAAACATTGTGTGCCAGGCTACAAGTTACGCAAACGTGTGGGCACTCAGCAATATCTGACTGAACAGAAATGAGTGACAAGACCTGTGCTTTAAGTCCAACATTCCCATTCCACTGAGATGTGCCACAGAGGTGGCAGAATGGGAGATGCTGGAGGAAAGAACTTTGCAATTGTTCTCCAAAAATCCTTAGACACCAAAATCAGCTGTAGGCTGGGGAAGCATCCACATCAGCTGTCCCTTATGTGTAGACAGCCCCACACCTGCCCAATCCTCTCTCCTTTTGCTCTTTCTTCCTATTCCTTCTCCTAATTCACACATGTTCCCCCACTCACACTTTGTCTTTCTGTCTCTGCTCCTGTCCTGCTGACAAAGAAGTCTGGATCCTTGAAACTCAAAAGTGAGGCCTACTGCCTGGCAGCCTCAGCACCAACTGGGGGCTGGTTAGAGAGGTGCAGTCTCAGGCCCCACTCCAGACCTACTGAATCAGAATCTGCATTTTAACAAGATCCCCAGGGCATTCCTACGCACATAAAAGTTTGACAAGCACTGCTCTAGACCAGAAGCAGTGGCAAATAAGTTTCAGCCGACAAACCAACCCCGTAATAGGAGCTGCTGCCTGGAGCCATGAACTGGTGCAGCGGATGAGTCCTGGGACTATAAGGGCTATCTTCTACGAGCACGGTGTAGAGTGTGGTATCCACACTTTGTCTTTAGAAAGAAACCCCCCAATAATTCTTTGTGTTTACTTCTCTAAGCAGCAGCTGTCACTGGGCCCCTACTGAGGTAGGCAGTATCACCCTTAGCCTCAGGCAAGCGGAGCCCCTGCTCAGGACCTTGCCTATCAGAGGTCCCCACACTTTGGAGTACCTTCCTCAAAGTTGTCTAAGCCTTTTTCTAGTGCCTGGGACTAGTCAGGGCCAGAGTGATATCCGGGCTAGGTACCCCACACTTGGACCTGGCCTTTTGCAGGTCCTGGTCACAGGAACACCTACCTCAACATTTCCTAAGTGCCTTCCCAGTGCTGACAAGCCAGCCATGGCCCAGCCATGTGAGCAGGGCACTCTGAGCCTAGCTAGACCTACACGGGCCCTGACTCCCATTTCTCCTTTTCAAGATGCTCTCCAATACTACTCCACTCGTGAGATCAACAAGATGCCCTGAGCAGCTCTGGGCATCACACCTACAGAATTGTCCCAGGTCCTGTGGCCAGACGCCAGTTCCAGGAGGGCCACCTGGCAAACACAGTATTTCTTCCACAGGATTGCATGACTGGGTGGCCAGAATGGTGTTGACGTGCTGATTTTAAGTGACTCTCACGTTGGGCACAGGACAAGTTCAGGGATCTGCATGACTGGAGATCTACTGCTGACCTTCCGGCTTGAGCCACACATGTGGGACCATGATTGACTCTCACTCATCCATCTTCCAACATAGTATCACCTCTGATTTACAACATGCAAAGGTGCTGGGGTGGCAACACCCATCTTTTAGCCTCCATGTCTCCAGCCAGTGGTGCCCAAGGTGGTCTCTCCACACCTTCCACAGGCGCCACCTGATGTGTCAGGCAGTCCTCCAGGACTGGCCGCCTATCTCCTCCTACACATTCCTTGCCTGAATGGGACTGCTCTTCTCACTTGTCCTCAGGGCCCTTCCATAGCCTTCCTGCAGGTGGTGGTATGTGGAAGACAGGGGTGTGGTCAACTCTGAAAGAGAGTCCATTCTTGGAATAAAGTAATCCCAGCATAAAACTTCAAAAAAAGACATGATTGGAAAAATGAAAAATGGCATGAGAAGAAAACAAATGATGGTTCACATTTTCTTGCATTTGTGGTCATCATCAATGAAGCAGTGAGAACCTCTGGGGGCAATTAGAAGCCAGTACTCATGGGCAGAAGGATGGATGATACAGCATCATGAGTAACGATACAGTCAGGATGAAGTATTATTAGGGAACTTCAGAGACAAGCAGATCTATATTTCACTACAAACGAGGTGGGAAGAGCCCTGACAGTATGAGTAATAACAGGGTTACTCCCTTTTTCTAGTTGTGAGAAACACAAAATGAACCAGGAATGGGACATTGACAATAAGACTTAACAGAGAATCTTCACTAAATCTGCCACACTTCCATTAAAATCCTCTCTAGCTGACTAAACGTGTTCGTCCCTTCCAGTTTCTATGTTCTGTTTGGCCTTATTGCCCAAAGCTTATGATTTATCTCAGTATCTTCAGATCATTGTTCTTATCTTTCTGCACATAAAATCATTCATAATCTCCTCCAACATCTTGCCCAATCACTCTGTTTCCTGTGTTTCCACTTCTCTAGCAGCAGCTCTAGAGGGCTAAGAAGAACAGATGCACAAACCCTGTCTATCAGAAAGAGTTCAAAAACTTCTCTTCTAGCCACTTGGTTGTCCTCGAGGAATTCGTAAATTTCAGAGTTTGTGAGGGTACGTGGGATGGTGGCGGGTGGAAGAAGGAAGCATAGACTGAGAAATATATTACAATGTACCCAAATAAATGGATGACAGCCTTCAAATTATTTTCCATGGGGAAAAAAAATTCATTCACAAATAGTCACAAGTACTTATGGAGGGGCTACTGTGCTGGACATTGTGGGAGATAAAAAGCTTGTGACACAGACTCTGCTTCCAGGAGATGTGCACTTGAACTGTGGAGCTAAAACAGCAGAAAGGAAAGACACACACACACATACACACAGTACATACTCCTGAGCGTCCTTGGACAGAGGGACACATCACAGTGAACTAGAGGGAGGATTTAAAAAGAGTCTTTAGCGAGGATGGGGTGGATGGGCAGGGGGTGGTGTTTATTCCTAGAACCAATCAATTAGAAAAACTAAAATATTTGTATTTTCAGTAAGTTTATTTTGTTCTAATCTTCAGAATAAACAAAGCTTTTCCACAAAACACACTATGATTATTTACCTGTCTCATTGGTTAATTACCAAATGTTATATAGTCAAATGTAACGAATGAAGATCAGAGCCAGTAACATCACAGAAAAGGAATCTCTGCGGCTTTCTGTTATCGCCATGAGAGGCAAGTTATTAGAACAGTTTAATCACGGAATTATTCAAAATTCCTCTGGTAATACATTGAAGGCTTTCAGTCAAATATATAAGCTTGCTGAAACATAGAAATATTTCCAGTATAAACTGGACGGAACTGATAAATCAGCGCTTTATCCTCTTCAACATCAGATTCAAAATGATGGTTGTTTTTCCGAGCTGCAAGAAAAAAAAGAAGCGTTCATCTGTAAAAGGAGGATAAAATTTTCAAAAGCCTACTTTGTAACATTTCTTTCTATAATCAGCATTAAGTGGGAAAATACCACCAAAAAGGAGACATGCCCTACAAAACTTCCCCCAAATCAAGCAGCGCTTGATTTAGAGAAGTTACCAGCTGACACAGCAGCTTTATCCGCCCTGCACGGATCCCATGGGTGCTCGCACCACCATTCATTCAAACACTTACTAAGTGCCTACTGCGTACAAGACTTGAGGGAGGGCCTGAGGATGGAAATGTAAACCAGACAAGGTCCTAACGCTCAAGAAGTCTAGTCTAGTCACCACACGAATCGTATGCTGTAACGTTTTTACAGTCTATCTTCATTAGATGTTTCAAGAGTAAAGAAGATGGAGAAACTGGCAAAGCTGAGGCAGATGGAGAAGTGAGGCATTTTCCACAGCTAAGGCAGAAACAAGAAAAACAAGGAGGCACAAAGAGGTTGGCATGGCTAGAGTCTGGACATGAGGGACTGAAGGCTCACACTTTACCCTACAATCAAAATAAAGTAAATACAGGCTTTTATGGTATTTATAAAGGCTATCGCAAAATAAAGACCAAATAAGTAACCTTGCCCTGTGATAATACTGCAAGGAACTTTGCTCTGCCTAGTGCTGTTCTCATTGACTCCTACACACACGACAAGAAAATGCTTCTTGGGACTCATACTGCACATGGGAGAACTTTTTTCTTTTAATTTGGGGTTTTTGTCATGAAACGACCCATTCAACTGAGCACAATTCCGAGAGAACTCAGGAGGGAGTACTTTACTCGCAAGTGTGGGCAGGAGGGTTGATAAGAATTTGGGGCAAGCTTGCAGAGAGAATGCAAACAAGGCTTGCTGAAGTTTTCAAACGGCCTCGCCTCTCAGAGTCATTACATAGCATGAAACTGTCTGTATCTTCTACATAAAAAAAGCATGCAAAGCTTATTAACTTTCTTCAATGTGCCAATGCCTACAGACAGGCGGCCTTAAAACCACACACTGGTGAGTATATACTCAATTTACATAAGAACATCTAATTCTCAGAGAATGCTATAATTAAAGCATCATTCCTAAAAAAGAAGAGCAATGGGCGAGAATCTAAAAAGAAATATTCAAGAAAGAAAGAAAAAACAAGACCAATCCTTATGTTATTTTTCAAGAATTCAGCCCACTTTAGAGTGTAAAATCCTAACTGAAATAATTTGTCCTGGGTTTATTTTAATTCCTAATATCTGAATTTCAGGGCTTTCACATGATGTAACTTTTTTTAAAAGTTAGACCTATAGAACATTTATAGAGCAAAAGAGTATACAAAAGTTCAAATAAGGGCAATTTCCTTCAAAACTACGCTAGAGTGATAAAATTATATACCCATATATTACCTTCAGCAGCAAAGAACTCTGCTAAGTAAAATGCAGCTTTCACAGCATTAGGCGAGTGAGAAATGCCTTTCTCTATCTTCCACTCATAAGGTCCCTTCTCTGGATGCCACTGGACACCATACACTGGATACTTGTATCCTGCATGAAGAACACAAACGAGGAAGTAGTAGGTACTAAAAATAGCCTACGACAGTACTTACAATTAAGTTACGTTTCATATCCTGTGTAAAACATTATTTTATAACTTAGAATGTCAGAAAAGTAAAATTGCACACATTCTCTCAGACAGAAAATAAAGAATTTTAGTTCACAGTCAATGTGAAAACTCACAAGACAGTATTTCACTGATTTTCAACCTTTTACAGTTTGTAATGATTCACCTTACTAGATAATCAGAGTAGAGGAAAATCGTTGAGCCTTTGAATGTAACCCAGTTCAATAGTCAAGTGCACATTGATTAGCGACACAAGTTTCTTCCATGATGGGTCTCTTTCGCCTCATTTCATACCACGTTTTCATCCCCCCTATAATGATTTATTCATATAAGAATGAACTGTGCTAGCACTTTTGGTGTCCTTTTATGTAACCCAGTTTGTCTCAGCCTAAATTGTGTCTCGCTCAGTCTGCAGAATGGTTCACGACTTCCTGGTGGCAATTTTTAGAATAGTTTCTAAAAGTTTAAACTTAGTATGAAAGATTTTGGGTAATATATTTTAATTGTTTTTAGAACTCTTAAATATCTTTATACATAAAAAAAATGATAGGGTCCCTAGGATTCACTTCAAAAAATAATCTAGTATGGGGAGAAGGTCAATGTGAAACAAGAATGGCCACATACGTATTGACAGCTGTTGAAGCTTAGAGCCAGGTACCTGGAGGTTCATTATACTACTCTCTTTCCTTATATATACATTTTTTAAATTCCATAATTTTTTTAAAAACAAGAATATGTATAATATGTACCTCCTGAAAAATTTATATACTCATCTCTTTTCTTCTTTACATAAGACTTTCTTCATTTTAATTAAAAAAAAAATCTTCCCTCTATTATTTTTGTTTTGAAATGATAACCCTAACTACCATGGGAAAGTACTTGGAGAAATGAAGAGAACTAGCTGAAAGCAGAGATATCTAGGGGAAAGAGCACTGTCTTCTCACATCCCACAAGGCTCTGCCACTAGAGATCATGTCACAAGAAGGAAACAAATTTTATCCTGGCCTTCTTGGGGTTCATAAGAGGGACAAACCTGACAGCAAGAAGCTCTCATCACTCTACTCCGTCCCTCCCCATCGGCCCTCTCCCGGCCTCCTTGTGACTTTGCACTTTCCTTCTCTTGTGTCTGGAACCACACGTGAAGCTACTGGCAGGAACCCCACAAGCTGGATGACTACGAAATTAACTGTTACACATAGTTAATTGAGAGCCAAATCTAATATACTTCTTTGAGATATGAAAAGTATTATTTAGGATAAAAAATGCCTTAAGTGATCAACTATAACAAGGATTTAACAGATAGATAGATAGATAAATGAACAGACAGAGAGAGATAGACACTGACATTCAGAAACAAGCGAGATTTACTATCCCTTAGTAAACTGCACTGCTAAAAGATCAGTGCAGCTTCCTGACAATTGTAGGAAGCATGCCCTGTTTCACTAATTTAGAACAAAGGTATCAAGAGTACAAAAAAATTTGCAAATAAGAGCATCTCAAGTGTTGCCATGTAGCAGGTGTCAGAAAATTTTCAGAAGATAAAATGTTCAAAAGAGCCCAGTAAGATGATATAGCCAGGAGGACAACCAACATGGAACTGATTCCCTAACTGCCAACCCAACACTCGTTCATTTAAGCGATTAGTTATTCACTCCACATCTACTGAGGTTTACACAAAGTCCTGGAAACATAAAGAAGAGTAAGACACAGGTCCAGCTCTCAGTGAGCTCTTAATCTAGGAGGAAAGACAGAGCATGAGCAAATGACGCACACAGAGACACCCTAGGTAGCAGAGAGCAAGTATAAAGGAGGAACAGTGAGGATGTGGGAGGAAGGATAATGGGCAGGGCTGGTCCCTAGGGGATGACCACTCACCTGAGTCTTTAAAATAAAGACAGCTAAGAGTTCATCAGCAGAAGGGAGTGGGGAGGAAGGAAAGCTTTTTGGAGGAGAAGAAAGAACATTAAGAAAAAGCACAAGGGCAAGAAACACTGCTATGTGGAGGGCTGGGTGGACTAAAGACACACAGGAATGAAGGCAGAGAACGAAGGGAGAGATCATGGAGAAAATGACCTGGTAAATCCCAACTTGACCCTCCAAGTGCTGAAGAGGCACTGAGGAGCTTTCCTCAAGCAATATGATCAGTTTGGTTTCTCGGAAGACTCGTCAGTGGCTGGCTGGAAGGCGGATTTATGGAACAGTTAGGAGGATACTGAGGCACGCCAGGTGGAGGTGGTCAATGCTGAAGCAGGACGGGGGTAGGCCAGATGGAGAGGAGGTGACATATTCAAGAAGGATTTGGGAAGTAGAAAGGCAGGAATTTTTTACATGTGGAGAATGAGGGCAGGAAGTCAAGGAGAGCTCTCAGGTTCCTAACTTTGGATGAAATAGTGAACGGCGATGCTATCGACTGAAGTGAAAAATAGAGGATGGGAGACACGGTTACAGGGAAGATGATGAGCTCAGATGGTAAGTTTACATCAGTCTGGGTTGATCAGCCTTCCCCAGAATTCGCCAGATACTGTTTCTAAACCCATAGATGTCTGACCTCTCCCAACAAGTGAGCCAGTGATATGGCCAATCTTTGAATAACATGAACTATTTCCACTTCCACTTTATTCCAGTTTATTCCGCTCCAGTACCCTGGCCTCTCGAGTAGCACTAAGCAACCTCACCAACTCAAAGACTGCCTATTGTTTCTGCAAGTTCCCATTCATGGTACTTTGCTCTTTGTGCATTAGTGATTTCTTGGCTATGACTTGCTCATTTTCCTTAAAACCTCGTACTATGGAAATTCCTTGAAGTCTGAGATAAATGTAGTTTTCTCCCGAGAATATTATTTCTGTTTGATTTTACCATGCACACTGGGGCACTATCAGTCTGAGTCAACTTTAAACAAGATTTCTGACTTCAAACAAGATTTGTTGAACTTCCCAGTTAGTATAATGCAAGCCACACTAGACCAGGCTGTCACTATGAATACTCAAGGCTTATTTCCCACCCCCACACTCTTAGTGCCAAGGTTCAAGAGGGGCAATTCTCCTTGCAGTTGTGCAGGCAGGATTCTTTGAGGGTCTAGCTTTTCAGGTCTTGCTCCCTGGGGTACTCTCCATGTCGGGGGTCCTGAGCTTTGTCTCAAGTTCTTCTGATTCAATAATAAAGCTGGTTTAAATACTCCACTTAACTTCTGGAGTTTATGGCCTGAGTGTCTTTACTGCCACTGCATCAATGTATTTAGGAAGATGTTTTCCTGTATGTCAGTCACATGTTTTGTTGTTGTCTAGAGGAACATCTTGTCAAGGTACTTAATCTGAAAATATTGCTAGAAACAGAAGTTACTTTCTCCATTTATTTCTTCATCCATTCTCCCTTTACTCTATACTTTTCCTCTTTCATCACCCCATTCTAGAAAATGACCCAGGTAAACCACACTGATTTGGAACATGGACAAAACACGTCTCCTGTCTCCAAAAATATCCTAACTTCCATCTTCAGGCTCCAAAGTAATATGATTTTATTTGTAGGAAAGAGAACTATAAAATCAAAATTAATAAATATACTCAGTGAAATAAAGTGCACATGGGCTGTGATATATACCTTCCATTGTTGAAATAAACTCAGTCTTGCCATCTGTATTTGTAGATAACACGTTGAAAAACTTCTTTAACTTTTCATTCGTTGTAAAATTCTGGAGTATAAAAATAAAACAAAATTATTACTTCTCTGGTTAATCTATATGCATTAATTTCATTATGTAATTAATGTGATACCTTCATGGACAGGCTCCACTTGTGGAAATTTGCAGTCAAAGGTTCTACTGATAATGACAGCAATAGGTCAGAAGGAAAATTCCGGAACATTCTGCTTTGCAATGTACCTGAAATAATTTAAGCATAAAGGAAATAATTTAAACACAGAAAAAATAAAATCCACTGAAGTCACTGATCTATAGCCAAAGAAAGGCCATTATTAAGACACAATCAAGATGACTAAATGATAAACAAAACACATCATTTCCACAGAAGTATTCCAGTCAGGCACAAAATGAGTTTAATATTCAAATCCAAATATGCTCCATCTTTAAGTACTTTTCTTCTATATTCTAAAATTCTTCTGATAGGATAATTAGCAGGCTAGCCATAGAGTAAGCAGAGTGTTTCAACTTGAGTTCCCTAGACAGGGCTAAAAAAACAGGTAAAATTTTCCACATGTGTATATATTTGTTTTCTCAAGAGAGGATCCAGATCTTTCAACATATTTTCAAAGGTATCTGGGACTTAAAAGGTGAAAAATATCAACAATGTAGAAAAGAACATTAACCAGGCCAAGAAATTTCTACTCAGTAAATAGACTGAAAAAAGCAATATACCTCACTGAAGGCTCTGAATTCTGACACATAGATTCAAATATAGCAAAGGGATAAAAATATCCTGATGGTGTTCAAGGCCCTGACACCAGCTGTCCCTAAACAAGACCTCTCACTCAGGATGCTAATGGCTTCCATGAGAATCTCCGTGCCTTAGATAATGAAAATTCACTGAAGTACCCTACTTCAATGGATTTTATTCCTTTTTTGTATAAACTGGGTTTTACCACATACAACCAAAACAGACTGACCTAATACATTCACTTCCCACAGGGTCCTTACAATCATTAAGTGAGATAATGTAAGAAAGAGCTTTCAAAAGCATAGAACATCCTACAGGTTCTATGTATAATAACTACTACCTTCCATCCAAAATCCTTATGAGAACAGAAATAGTTCGCAGCATTCATCTTAGGATTCAGAAATCAAGTGACCTACCAGAATCATTACCTATTTAGAAAGAGTGGTATGATAAGGAATTTGTCTGGTCTTTGTTCTGGGTTCCTGACAAGGAGATTCTAAAATCCTTGAAATTTCCTGAGTGTTGGAGTGTCTGTGTAATGCTACTGAGGTGACTGAGGACCCCAGATAGCTTCAGGATGAGGCTGGTCACCAGAAAGACTAACCACATGATTGGAGTAGGTTAGGATTTTGAGCCAGCCTGACCTCCAGGGATGGGAGGGAGACTGGAAACTGAGTTCAATCACATGGCCAATGATTTAATCAATTGTGCTTTCACAACGAACTGACAATAAAACCTCTGGAAAGCAAAGCTCATTAGAGCTTCCAGGTTGGTGAACGCATTAATCTGCCAGGAGGGTGACAGGCCCTGACTCAACAACGAGACGGCATGGAAGCTCTGCATTCCCTCCCAGACCTCATCTTGTGTGTATCCTTTAGAATAAAACTGTTAAGGCAAACACAGTATCAGTTCTGTGAGTCATTTGAGTGAATCATTGAACCTGAGGGGGTCAGGGGAAATCTCCAAATTTGTGGCTCGTTGGTGAGAAGTGGAGGTGGCCCAGGGATGTGACTTGTGGCTGATATCTGAAATAAGGGTCGTCTAGTTGGGGAGACGACCTTTAACTTGTGGAGTCTGCACTAACTCCAGGTGGTTAGTGCCAGAAGTGAATAGCCGTACACCCCAGCTGTGGCTGAAACAGAGTATATGGCCAAGGGAAAAACACTGTACTGTAACAACAAGAGCTGAAATTTATGAGAGTTGTACTTAAAGTGCTTAGTACAGTACCTGGAAAACATCATCTTATTTAATCTCACAAACAACCCTAAGAGACAAACCCTTTTACAAATCAGGAAATGAAAGCTCAGAGAGGTTACATGATTCCCCAAGGCAAAAGTGACAAAGCTAGGACTCAAGACCAGGTCCAATTTTAGAGGTCTTAATCATGCAAGGTCCTAACATCACTAGAAGCAGTAAATTATCAAAACTCAAAATTCCTTAAGCCATCTTCCTAACTCAGTACAAAAGTGATCATTCACATCTTCAGCCTGTGTAAATAATTTAAAAATTAATAAATGTTATCAGTAGTTTTGAATGTTATATTTGCTACTCATTAATCCTGCCCAGTTAATATTTTTAAAAGGGTCGAAAAGAGAATTCTCACCATTAGTGAAGTTCAGCGGCAGTGCACATCCATCAGTATTTGTGGAAGTTAATAAGGACTTGTTACTAACCAGATATGAAAGCTCTTCAAATCCAAGGCATGTGCCCCACACAGGAAAGTAGTCTCCAGCATTAAAACTCTTTGCAGAGTGAAAGAGAAAACAGCTTATTCAAACTTTTCAAAACAAAACTTAGACATTTGGCTTGTCATTACAAGGCAGGCACCTGAGTTATACACAGATCTCTGAAGAATTTTCCAGGATCCATAAGTAGGCTATCACTTATTCTCTCTTCAGACCAAGCTCCCACATAATAATCCAGTTTTAATCAACAAAATTATCAGGCCTCAACTGCCCTGGGAAAGAGACGGGCATCTGCCAGTCAACTACCACACTACACAAGTAATAATTAGGGACTGTGAATATCAAAAATAAGGACAGATAGATGCCTAGCTACATATTCTACAAATCTGCTTGCTGTGGATGATTGTCTAATTCTGAAGACACTCTGAAGTTCTTCCTCCATCATCTCAGAATTTATAGTAAGAGCTACATTATACCACCTTCAGCCAACCACATGTACATTAGGTAAAACAGCCATGATCGGGAAGGAAAGAACGGTCAGCGTGGAAGCAGCTAGGCAAAAGTAAAATAACTTTGCACAGAGTAAAAGCTGTCAACTAAAAAAGTACAAATGTATTGGGTTTCTTCAAAGGGAGTCATAACAATTAGCATGACTGGGGAAAAGTATTCTAGCAACTGAATTTTCTGGTTAACTGAAGATTAAACCCATATGTGCTGATAGTTACAAAAACGAGCTGTGTAACTTCTCTAAAAGTGGCAGTTTTCCTGCATAGACTGTAAAATATAACCTAACAGTAAGTAATTTCAAAGGAGAAAATCTGGGGCTTTTTTTTTCTGTTCCTCACTGAGAAAAATATAGAGTTACATTAATTCCTATACTTTATATTTCAAAAGGATTTTAACACTTTATGCACAGGTGTGGCAAATTTTATTTTTAGACGTTAGAACCATCTATGTTAAGTTGAAGGGTCTTACTGAATGTACTTATAATAAATACAAAAGAGGGATTACTGTTCTGTTGTCATATGTACCACATTTAATTTCTCAACTAAATGTTAAGTCCCCATTTGCTGGGACCATATCTTTCTTTTTTGTGGATCCTCCACACACTCCAGCAGAGCAAAGGACACAGAGTGGAACTGAACGGCTCTTCAGGGAGGGCTCTGTGGAGTCCAGAGGCTGTAGCGAAATAAGAAATTCAAGGCTGCTAAATTTTATTCCTTTGCTTTGACATCCTTAAGGAGCTAATTACATTTAAAAAATAGATCTTTGGGTCTTCTGGGTTGGGTGGCTCCTTTTTTTTTTAATTGAGCAAGCTGGTTACATGAGTCTGTATGCAAAAGGAAGAGTAAGCACTTTATAAGGACATAGATATTTCTCAAATGCATTTTAAATCACTCACACTATAAAATTTCAATTTTTTCACTAGATTTTTTAAACAAAATATCCACTGAGCATGCACCAAGTTAAGTACATGGTAGTATATGATATGAAATGAGGAATGGCTCAAAGGGTGTCAAAACCATGAAATCTGATGAGACATGAACAGCTAACCTCAAGATAGTAGGTCCTCTGAAATACAAGACCCTTAAGGTCATGGACGCTGTCATATTACAGAAGCGGAGCTAAATAAATGTTTGAACAATTCTACAACAAAGTACTCTAAAAGTTAAGCGGGAGTCAGATGCCATTCCAGCTGAAGTAGGCAGAGAAACCTCTAGAGAAGAGGAATAGCATCTTAGTCTTGAAAGATGGCTAAGACATAAGTTGAGGAAGGAGTAGAAAGAAACAGACTAAATGGATTTACAAGTAGGAGGACACAGCATATATGCTGGGAATACCAACCTGGCTTCAGTGACTTCCATAAGGAAAGGCTGGAAAAGGGGGGCTGTGGACACACTGTATGTATTGACCCAAAGACTATTGCAAACAAGTATCTCATATGCTAAAAGGAGTTCTTTAGGGAAGTTTTTTATGGGGCAGGGAGATCCTAGGGCCAGTGAGATTAACTAGAAAATCGCCGTTCATAGTTAAGGAGAGAAATGGTAAGGATCTGAGCTATGGTACAAAGGCAGGCCCAGTGTGAGACATCACAAAGGAGTCAAGAGGCTCTGGTAGTAACTGAATGTGGAGTCTAAAGTGACTGCGAAGAAAGGCCAGATGGGACTGAGTGAGTTGGGATGAAGAGCAGCTTTCAAGAGGAGATAAGAATAAATAACATATGGACAATGTACCATACATCATCAAAACAGCTTACTAAGCCACCCTGAGGATCTGTTCACATTAATGAGCGGGAATAGAGAAGGCCAGTCAGCAGGGCTCTGACGGTTCCCGGGAGCTCAGAACTAAAGGAAGCAAACAAAATGGGGGAGAGTCGCTACTGGCTGCTGAAAGCGGGCACCTCAAAATTAAGAGGTGTTGAGGCCAGCGTAATTGTGAAGGAAGTACTACCATATGCTTAAAAAAGAATTATCCTCATGCAAATGCCAAAAGTCCATCTGGAATCATTGATATTTACCTGTATGGAAAAGTCGTAAAATATTTTGGCCACTTTAGCATAACCTGACTTCTTGAGGTCAGCACCTCCTCCAGGAAAAAGGATGCTGAAACAACATCAAACAGGGTGTATTTCAACCTCTCCCCTCACAAAAAAGAAATGATCTTTTTCTTTGAAAACAACTTTTTCCCTATTACATAAGCAGCAAGTTGTTCATTCAACAAACATATACTGCTTCTTGCGTGAGCCAGGCTCGGCACTGGCGGGGAGAGACAAAGCTGAGTACTTTCTGCTGTAAGTAAGATGGCAGTCTAGAAGAAAACGTATAGCCTCTGAGGTAGACCATCTGCCACAAAACGATGCAGGACACCCCACAACTAAGAGTGGCTTCATGAAGACTGCTTAGCATTCTCCCTTTTCACTAACTCAGTATTTAAAAAGCTGCCTCGGCTCAAATTTGATATGTTTAACCCGAAAGTCCTTTCATAAAGTAAATCTTGACTGTCCTTCCCAGTTGACAAACTCCCTTAAAGCAAGGCTCTGCCTCTGTATCTGTGTTCCTCACAGAACAGCGGAGCACAACACAGCTCAACATATATATATATATATAGTTATATATATATATAGTTATATATATATATGTTGTATATGTGTGTGCATATATGTTGTATATGTATATATATGTTGTATATGTATATTATACATTGTATATATATATTGTATATATATTTGTGTATATATGTTGTATATGTATATATATGTTGTGTGTATATATATGTTGTATATGTATGTATATGTGTTGTGTACATATATACATTGTATATGTATACACACACACATATATATAATAGGGGCTCAACAAAGGCATTTTTGAAGTTGCATTAGAGTACTGCTCATTTTCTGGTATATATTTTTGAGGTTCTACCATATATTCTAGTCTGGTCTTCAGCTTCTTTTTTTTTCCAGGAAGATTAGCCCTGAGCTAATTACTGCCAATCCTCCTCTTTTTACTGAGGAAGACTGGCCCTGAACTAGCATCTCTACCCATCTTCCTCTGCTTTATGCATGGGACACCTGCCACAGCATGGCTTGGTCTTCTTTATCTTTGCCCATGCCAAAGTACACTGCACGGAACAGGCATTGTAAATGTTTTACGAAATTGAACTGATTTTCCAGTAAGTACTTACTGACCCAAACTGAACTAAAGGCAAATGACTGTTATGAACAAAGTTTAAAAAAAAATAATAAATGAATGCAGTTTGAAAAAGTAAAAAAAGAAAACCTTTATGCTAAATAGACTTCCTCCACTCCACTCCCACTCAGAAACAAGCAGCGCTGAAGTCTGTTGTGCTGACCTGATAGATATGCAGATCTCCTCACCCTACCTTAAAAACAAAAGTCAATGGGAATAAACTAGTCACACCATTATGTGCCTCACTTTTTTCACATAACAATATCACACTGTTCAGGGGCCAGCCCGGTGGCGCAGCGGTTAAGTGCGCACGTTCCACTTCGGCAGCCTGGGGTTCGCCGGTTTGGATCCTGGGTGCGGACATGGCACTGCTTGGCAAGCCATGCTGTGGCAGGCGTCCCACATATAAAGTAGAGGAAGATGGGCACGGATGTAAGCTCAGGGCCAGTCTCCCTCAGCAAAAAGAGGAGGATTGGCAGCAGATGTTAGCTCAGGGCTAATCTTCCTCAATAAAAAATAAATAAATAAAATAAAAACAATATCACACTGTTCACATAACAAGGGTGATCCAAAGCAGCATCTACAGATATCCTCATTTTTTAACCCACGCATAATACTCTATTATACACATAGAGTCTATTTACTTAACCAATTCCCAATTGATGGACTATTGGGTGGCTTCTAAATTGGGGTTATTCCAGATAATACTACAATGCATATGTTTGGGCCCAAGTCTTCACCTTGGGGGAAGTATATTTGTAAAATAAAATTCCTTCTGAAGGATTTCTTGGGTCAAAGGTATGTACATTTTAAATTTCAACAGATACTGCAAAACTGTCCCCAAAAAGACTATTTAACTTACATTCCCATAAATAAAGTATGAGAATACATGTTCCCTCACACCTTCACCATAGAGTACAGCAAATTTTCTGATTTTTGCCAAGTTGATGGTTAAAAAATGGTTTTCAATTGCTCTAATTAGCTTTCCTTTAATTAGGAGTAACACTGAATATTTTTTCCTATGATTAAAAGTTTTTTTCTGTGAGCTAACCAATCACATCTTTTGTGGTTAAGCCAGAGGATAGAAACTTTTTTCCGAGTTCTATTCAAATTACTGCTGAAAGATAACTGATTAATATCCTCAGACTCAGGACTCATAAACCCACTAAGCAAGCAGTATACCATGCCATTCAAAGTGGCTCCAAAGCACTTAAGACAAGCATTAAAAGAACAAAGATTATGCTACATACAAAAAAAAATTACATTTGTCCACTATGGTAACATTTATTTCTTAACTTGTCTTCTCCTCTCTGCAGGACTTTTGTATCTCTCAACAAAATAATTTCTATAAAATAACTAAGAAAACTAATGTTACACCACGATAAGAAAGTTACATAGAAACACCCATAATATTTATGTGTACTTTTTTTGCAGAAGCAGACTACACAGACCTCATACACTGTATCAAACCCCTGCAGCCAACTTACCCATTAATTGAATGGAAAAGCTTTTCATATTCTTTAGATGTAAGATCAAGCCTGAAAAAATACAAAGAATTACAAAACATCCATCTCCAAAACTTAAGAAAAAAAGTAAGCTTCTAAATGTAGTCACCACATTAATTTTAAACAGCCAGACAAAAAATAATTCTTAAATCCTAGAAAATACTACCTCTCTACCTTCCTAAAGGCATTTTTTCAAACTACATGTAAGGCAAATAATTATATCCTTCTTTTGCTAATCAGACTAGTAAACACATTTTTCTGTGGTCTAAGGTAATTTAATATTGTTAAGTATGTATTAATATGCAAAACCTTAAAGACCATGAGATTTGGACACCAGTAATATCTCTGCTAGCCAAGAACTATCAAAAAAATGTAAGATATTCAGTAGTTTTATGTAAAGATTAAATAAAAAGATTAATTAACATGCCTATCTTAACTACAGTCTGCTCTGGCAGCTAAAAACCACAGTCACGCACCGCATGACAACATTTCAGTCAACGATGGACTGCATATAGTGATCCCACGAGATCAGTACCACGTAGCTTAGGTGTGTAGTAGGCTATACCATCTGGGTTTGTACAAGTACACTCTGTGATGTTCGCACAACTATAACATCACCTAATGACACATTTCCCAGAATGGACCCCCATTGCTAAGCGATGCATGAGTGTATATATAACACCAGGTCCCTGCTTCATCCCACCCCCACCAACAATGGCAGAGGTCTGGGGACTCCTGTATATTCAAAAGTCAGAAGAGTTCAGATCCAGGGAGAGACTACATGCAGATCACTGGAGACTGGCCTGATCTGCCCAGGTAATTACCCTGAAGCACTGAAGCCCCCTTCATCAAACAGCCCGTAAGGGCCTCCTAACAACCAACAAGTTATTAACCATTTTATTCCCTTCTCCAGAGAAAACCAACGAGATTAATCTATGACAAGTGGCCACATTTAATTAAGTCACAGTCTGATGGATTTGCTCTTTCTAAAGTGCAAGAAAATGCAAGAACACGGGAAGAGAGCATTTCCTAAAGAGAACTTTAGGAAATTCTTGCAAGAACTTTCCTTTTTAGCAGTCTTCTGGTTCTCTAAGAGAATAACAATGTCTAATGCCCTCCTGACCTGCCAGAGAAGAAACAGGTTTATGATCAAATGTCAGCTACAGTCCATCTCTGCCTCAGGGAAAAGTTTTAGGGTGAATTACAACACATCTCCCATTATTAAGTAGACACATTTGATGCCTAGAACTTGGTTGTGCTTTGCCAGCAAACCCCTCTTCTCTACGTCCAAATGACCTGTGCAAGTCCAGGTCTGTTCAGAAGTTCATAATAATCCTCCTTCTGGCAGAGAGCCACAAAGCAGTGGGTGATACTGAAACGGTGCTTACCGCCATCTTAAATGGAGGATTGGGAAGTGACAGGGAGACCAAATGTGAGTCCACGTTCCCAGTATTCTGCTAATTCAATCTCCCTAGATTGTGTCAACCAAAAAGGGAACGAGTCAGGACCCAGAATCTTCCCCATGGATATTTAAGCCAGGGTGGGCAACCACCACCATCAGGAACCAGAGTGGATTTAGATCACTCAGCTGCATTCCAGAGACTCCTACCAGCTAGCCTTGCAGGTTAGTTTCAGTCGTTTCCTTAGTTCTAAATAAATGGTTCCCACGTTGTCCATAACTGAATTTTTGGGCCCTGCTTATCACTATTAAGGGGTTTAAGTGTTGTGGGGGGACGAGTGCCTCAGAGGCCTGGCAGGGAAAACAGCCCAGGTCACATTCTTTGAACACAGATGTGATCTGCATGTTGTCAGACTTTCTCGAAGCAAAAGACCCTCTCAATAGGGCAGGAGAAATAGTTCACTCTCTCTTTAACTAATAGAAAACAGCTTAAGCCTGGTAATGATGCAAATGACACAGCTTCAGCAGCATCAAAAGGGGTGACAGGCATTGTTGCCAATGGAGGGCACTTGCTCCATTTAAAATAAGCTCCAGATAATTGTCTTCAAAACAAAAAAAGAAGCCAGAAATTCAGACTTTTATGGAGTAGATGTTTTTATGATTTGAAAATATTTTTGTAAATGATTTGTAAATGTCCACTTTTATGATTTGTAAATGTTTAGAAATGTTTTAAAACACTGAGCGAATGAAACACATTTTTAAGATAAAAGCAGCCCATGGGCTGCAGCATGCCCCTCTCAGGAGGGGCACCCTCTGTGGGTTCCACTAGTCCCACAGGGGGAATGTATGATGACCTGAGAGCACGAGGCACCTGAGAGAGACGGCAGCAGAAAGAAGGTTTCTTTACCCATTCCAGAATTTTGCCTAGGTCTCCCATCCTCCACCTTTTCCCCTCTAAACTGCAGAAGTTGGCCCCTAGCATCTAAAATTCAGAAATGAACCCAACATTATTGGTGTGATCACATCATTCTACATTAGGTAATCCATCCTTTGCAAGTCACCCTGGGAATTTAGCTGCCACACATTACATTGTTTTTATAGGATCCTATCATTCTAATTCCAAGCAATATTCCTTAAAATGAACTTTGAGAACTCAAGCTGGAAGTAAAGATGTATGCTGACAGTCACATTTTCAGTGTCTCTGTCATAAATACCAGGATTCTGTGAATCATCCAGTTTCAAGATTTCCCCAGTTTCAAAACTTCTGTCATTCTCGTCTAATCCTCCCGCTGCCCTTTCATTCTATTAGTCACTGAGTCTAGCTGATTTTTTTAAAGAACGTTTACCTATCAGTTCTACAACCACACAGCTCTAAGCCCAGCCCTCATCACTTCACACCTGGCCTCTTGCATCAGTCTCTGAACTGGTCCACCTGCCTCTCGCCTCTCCTTCCTCCCATCCATGTTTTTGGCACTAATATCCTTAAAGAACAGCTGGCAGGAAAAGCTTCCATAATCAAAACTTTACCATTTTTTCCTGAAGATTCTCTGGAGCCTCTTCCTCAGTTCTAAAACTCTGGTGCTATTTGGGTTCAAATAAGATTTCATTTGAAAAATTAGATCTGCTACTAAAAAAATTAAAGACTGACTTCAAAAGCAAATGCTCATCTTGGGGTAGCGACAGTTAAATGTAAAAGATCAAGCAAGAAGACAATCCTTATGAAGCTAAACATAAAACCATTTTGTGGTACAATTCTCTAAATTGTAATATTTGCATTTTGATTCTTAATGTTCTATTTGAACAGTACTTTGTTATAGTTTTTAATGCAGAATTATTTACAAAAACAGGTTGCTTGGAGCAAACAACTGTGTTTTGTGTGTGAAATCTCTTATAATGGATTAGATGGGGGTGCTGGGAGATTCGAAAACAACCTAATTTGGGGTGGCAAGGTATTATAAATACTTGTAAGGTTTTGTTTGTTAAAAAAATTCAACTCTTTCCAACTCAAAATATGACACGAATCGTTTTATTCTTACTAGGCCATTACATCACAAAAATAATGCACCTCCTTTAAAACTGCAATACTTGCAATTTATACTGCAGCAAAACTGCTGCATTAGTCATTTACAGACTTTTAAAGTAGCGTGTGAAGGTATTTTAAGCCATCTGCTAGCAATCTCCTTCATTCCCTAAGTGTTCCCGTTTCCTAATATCATGGAACGAAGCTGGGTAAGTTGTAGAACCATTACTTTCAGGATATCTGAGAAGGACCACCCACCCTGGGGTAAAGGAAACCATCAGTTCATTCTCCATCTAACACACATGGCACACCTCTAATGATGTTATAGATACACACAGCTTCATGCTTAAAACAATTTAATGAGAGACTCTAAGCATGAGATTTGTGGCAAAAATCAGGTGCAATATTACCACATTTAAAGGACACAATCATAAAAGAGAAAGCATTAATTTTAGCGCCAAAACAGCAGTTTCTATTTATTCAGTGTAAAAAATGTGGAATCATACCTTATTGGTACAACTCTTGCACCTGCAGACTCCAGATACTTTACATAGGATGCAGCAATATAATATTTCCCCAGCTTTTTCATGTCCTTATCACGGCATTTTTGCATTAATATTCCTAAATTACAAAAAGAAAAAAAAAAGCTTTAGTTTCAAGCAATTTCCTCTTTTGCTGCTCTAAAACTGAAACACATCACAGTAAAAATGTCACTACTGTATTCATTTAATTCACAGAACTAAACATGAAGCTTCTCCTGCAAGTACATCCATAGACTTTGGGAAAGGAGTAATGGAGGCTGATGTGAGTGTTAAGAAGGCTGCCCTCTCTTGCCTCATCAGGGAGGCCAGAGAAGCCCCAAAGCAGGTTTACAATAGCACCTGCCTCCTTCACGCACCGTAGAATGGACCTCAGAGCACAGACCCTTATCTCTAGAAGGAGGCCTCTCCTTCCCCACACACACGCAAAGACACATTGTTTCCTTGACAACAAAGCAAAAGAGTGGAAATATCTTCCACCCACATCTCTCCGACATCATCAATAAGACCTTAATCCAAGCAACCACCATCTTGCCTCCCCTCCCCCAAGACTATTATAACAGCCTCTTGAAATATCTCGCCACATTCTTTCTTAAACAACCCCCACCAACTCCACCAGTTCTCCACAGGCTAAGAAAGCTGATCATATTACCACTCATTCATTTCAGGATACATTACTGAATCATACTATGTACCAGACACTGACCTAGGTGCTGAGGACACACGAGTAAACAAAACCAACAAAAACCCTGCCTTGTGGGCCTTAATTCTAGCGTGTGGAAGGGAGAAGAGCGAGGACAAACAATAAGCAAGACAAAAAGGTAAAACATGTAGTGTGAAGGCTGGCGGCAAGTGCCACGAAGAAAAGGTAAAGCAGAGGAAGAAGGTGTGTATTTGGGGGGTGGGGGGGGTTCCATATCTATAGGGGGGAACAGAGTCCCTTAAATATGGTGGCCAGGTGAGTCCTCCCTGAGAGGGTAGAACATGGCATTTGAGCCAGGCCTTCAGAGAGGTGAGGGAGTAAGCTAGAAGCAGATACCTGGAGCAAGACGAAGAAGCAACAGCAGGGGCAAAGGCCCTGAGTCAAATGTGTACCTGTCACACTGCAAAGCGTCCACATCACTAGAGCCCTGTGTGAGCAAGGGAAGGACCAACAGGAAATAAGATCAGAGAGGCGAAAAATCAGCAGGGGTAGCTCCTTGCTTAAGCACCTAGACCCTGCATGTTCTGCCCCACCTACCTCTCTGGCTGCCTGTTACACTGAAACCTCAGCCGTTGCACAGTACTGGCATCCAGTATCCATCCAAAGATGTCTGTCCGGATAGTACCTGTGCTTGGATCATTCACTGCTTCACCATCGTGAAGACTTTCAATGTTCCCGTAGGCCACCTGACAGGAAGAGCTGTAGATCTCAATCACTTCTGTAGTTTCAGTTTCTTATGCTAACTGGCATTTAACAGGCTCTCAGTTAACATGCTAAATGCTGAAATTTACTCAGACTTTTTTTTTTAAAGATTGGCACCTGAGCTAACATTTGTTGCCAATCTTTTTTCTTTTCTTTTTCTTCTTCTTCTCCCCAAAGCCCCCCAGTAAACAGTTATATATTCTCAGTCAGACTGTTTTTCACCTCGCAGATAGGTAAGATCCTCTTCATCGAGGAAAATGAAATCAGGTAGGGAAAGAATTAGCGAGTGTCACAGGAAATGGAGTGGTACAGGGCGTGCAAAGGTGAGGTGCCACAAAGGAGGGCTGGGGATATGTGAGCACAAGGGACTGGAAAGGAGAAAAGTACACTAGAGGAGGGAAGTTCCACCAACTTCTCCCCTCCTCCCGCCGCACACTTATTCACTTTTCCCATCCTAGGAAAAGAGTTCAGGCTCTATTCCCCACCCCCTCAAAATGTGACAAAATTCCACGCTTATTTTAAGGCCATCTCACAACTTTGTGGCCTCCTTGTCTTCAAACCCTTTGCACTTCCTAACTCAATGCTTTGCACCTAGTAGGTGCTGAGTGAACTACTCGGTGGTAATTGATCAGGGTGATCAAAAGCATACTCACTTTTTCTATACTTGACCCTGGACTACCACCGTTTCAAGGAAACAGAAAAGAATTCTCCCTCTTCTTTCCTTTGTTCCTCCTCCCTGCACCTAGAATTCCCAACACACTACACAGAATTATACTTTGAGTTAATTCTCCTCGGAGAATCTAACCAACCATTTCAAACGGCTATAAAATAAGGCACACCAAGTTCCAAACATTGATACACAAAGCATTTGAAAACTGGGCACTACCAATATACACGAAAAAATGTTCATCTACTTTCTAATTACAGAATACACTGCTCATCTTCATGGGGGGAAAAAACAGTATGAACGGCATAATACGACAGCTAAAATGAAGCCAATCTTAATTGTCTGCACATAAATTACTTTTGGCAAATTTTATATTAGGCCTCATTTCTCCTGGGTTGCTTCCCCCCACCCCCGCCCTGTCTCAAACGTCCGTTCTGGCAATGCAAACTGATTTTACTGTCTTTTTAAAACATAAATGAGTTGAAAACGAAAAATTACATGCTTCACTTTAACAAAGAGAACTGACATTAAGATCATACTAGCCACCACTGCCCTTCAATGGTGAAGATGGCAAAGTCGAAGGAATATCACAATTTCTAGATTATTTACTCAATTAGATTTTTATAAGTATAATGCATTGTCTTGAAAGAAGGCCTCGGCCAGTGAAATTCTAGTAAATATAATGCATGTATAGAATTTGTTTAATTAGCAGAAATTCCCAGCTAGGTACAAAGAAGAAAGCAACGCGCAGGATTCTTCACGGCGCATCCTCCGCTCTTCCACCTTGATGAGCAAAATCAGTTTGAGGAAATCACCGAGGTATTAGCTTATCTCAGCACGATCTAGATGGTGTCTTGGCTTGGCTCTTGTGCTGTAAGGGAAGGCGCACTTCGCAATCGTGAACCTGGGCTTCTCCAAGGCAGGATGCGCTGGCTGCAGCCCCGGCCCCGCCCCTGCCCGCCTGCTTACCGATGATGGGCTTCTCCGAGGTGCCGGCGCGAGGAGCCGACAGCCTGAAGCTCGCCGCCCCGCACAGGAACAGGCCCAGCACGCAGAGCAGGCGGCCAAGGCTCGCCATCGCGCCGCCGCCTCCCGCTGCCTTTCAAAGACTCCGCGAGCGGCCGGGCTGCAGGTCTGCCGGGGCCTGGGGGCCGCCCGGTGGCGTCGAGCGGGGGCGGCGCTCCGCCGCGGGGGCCTCTGGGAAACGCAGTCCCGGCGCGAGGCGGCCGCGGGGAGCGGGGCGCGGCTCCTGCGGAGGCTCCGGATGCCGCTGCCCTTTCGACTGTTACAGCGGTGTGCCCCTCAGCAACCCAACACCAAGCTGGGGCGCCCACCCCAGGCTCTCGAAGGGGCACCTCTGGGTCTCGGCCTCAGCGAATCTGACGACCTGGCAGCGGGGGAGGCTGGCCAGAGATCTCCAAGTCGCCTGGCAGCCCTGCGCCACCTGTAGCTCCTGCTTAAAAGGCCGGAGCCTTATGTGGGAATGCTGACAGCCGAGTTTGACTCTTGAGCTTCGCTATAAGGAGAGCCGTGACCTCGGAGGTGATTTCCACATCCTGCTGTTTATTTGCAGAGTGGAGGCGTCTGGAGGAAAGGAAGCGCCGGGGAAGGGCGGGGTGATGGATGTGGACACGTTCGCGGGCGCACCGCCTCGTCTCGGAGCTGGGCAAGGAGGGGCCGACTCCCGGCAACTGCAAAGCGCGAAGTCCAGGCCAAGCCTGCAAATCATGCCTGCTGACTTCACTGTCAGCGCCACCGCAGACTTGTGTGTCCCACAAACAGGGGCAGAAGTGATGATTTTGGTGCCTATTCGTTAAAAGTATTTTGAGAGTTCTGTTTAAAATTTTAAGAGATTTAGAATCACTAGGTATATTTTGGTGGGAAAGTAGGTAAACGTCAGGAACCTTCTTCTGTGTGTGGAAACCTATGAGTATAGGAATGGCTTGTCCTAGGTGGAAGGTCCCACCGTAAGGGCCAAATTAAATTCAGAGCAAAATTGAAGAGTATTTGGAAATCTACTCAATCAATGCTAAGTATGGAGAATGCAGAGATGAATTGGACAATGTCTTTTACACAAGATGTTTGCGATTTAGTAAGGAAATAAGACAGGAAGAGAGCATGACTGTAGAGAGAACAAGACCATAGCTGGTATATTTCAAGAAGAGTAAGTGCAATCAGTAGTCTGGTTTGACAAGAAAATGATGCTACTGTGGAAGGGCCTGGTGAGAGAGAAGCCCCAAGGATATAGTTAAAGATATTGTGAAATGCCTTAATACTCAGCTGGTTTTGAACGTAATTGAACAGACAGGGAGCCTTTGTAAATGTGAATTTGTGGTGCTGGAGCAATTGACTATCCACGTGCAAAAAAGTTAAATTATTAGCTGGCATTATACACAGAAATAAACTCGAGGTGAGTAAATATGTAAATGTGAAAGCCAAAATACTATACTTTGATAAAAAAAAAATATAGGAGCATATATTCATGACTTTGGTGGTCAGTTTTTGTAAAATTTTTGAAAACCGCAGATAATGGAAAAACTTGATAAATTTGATGACGTTACAATTTAAAAGCTTTTGTATATCTTTAAGCAAATTGAAGGTAAGACACAAACTTGGAAAATATATTTACAAAGTATACAACTTTAAAAGTATTCGTTTCTAGAATATACAAAGAATTAAAATCAATAAGAAAGGACAACAACCAATAGAAAAATGGGAAAAGAATATGAAGAGACAGAACAAAACTTCACTAATCGTCAGGGAAATGCAAATTAAGACAAGATAATATGTCACATTCATCAGATTGACAAAAATGGAAACCTTAATAGTAAGTCAAGGGTGTGAAAAAATGAGAATTCTCTGACACTGCTGGCGGAATTATAAATTATTACAACCATTTGTGAGAGCAATTAGGCAATATCTGGTAAAGGTGAAGATGCACATATTTGGTAATCCAGCACTTTTTGGACGTAGATATATTCCCTAGAGAAATGCTTGCATGTGTGAACAATGAAATATGTACAAGTATGTTCTTTGCAGCATTTTTTTTGTAACAGTGAACTATTAAATGCAGTGTAAATGACCATCAATAAAAGAATGGATAAATTGTATGATTAATAGACTAGTAGGAAGCGTAAAAGTGAACGAATTGGAGTTTCTCATCAACAAAGATAAATCTCTATTAATAAGACGTAACAGAGATAAATTTTCTAGAGGATTAGAAGAGAAATTATCTAGAAGATAATGTCAGCTGCCAGAACTAAAATCTCTCCACACATCATCAAAAATTATATGTACAAGGAGTAAAAATAAAATTACACATGATCCATGCCTTTAGCAATACCTAGAATGATCAACTCTGAGAGTTAGCCTAGTAAAATTATTGGACATTAAGAAAAAAAATTCATAAAGGGCACGAGGCAAAATAGTCAGTTTACTTATGAGAGTAAGACTATGAGGATGATCTCACACTTTTCAAAAGCTACAAAAAAATCAAGGCTAGAATGGAGTAGCATTTAAAGTAAATTCTTAATCAAGGATTCTATATGTGGCTGAGCTATACTTCAAGTATGAGGGCTATAGAAGCACAGTTTTGAACAGTCTATTACTAAGAGAATGATGTTCTCATATGCCCTTCCTGGAAAGCTAACTAGAAGATGAACTTCATCCAAACAAAAGATGACTGGGAAAATTTATCAAGATAATTGACAGTGAGCGGTTAATATATTTAATCATAGAGCTAAGACTAAAGGGTAGGGGCATAGGTCAAAGAATACAATGTGACATCATATGTTCTGCCAAGTAGATAGAATGCAAGTAAAAAAATGGGAGGAAAAGGGAGCAGGGAAAGGAAAAATAGAATAAGATCATTGACTGTGTATAGGTAATAGGTAGGATCCAAAAGGGGCCATTTAAAAACTGGCCAACCAGACAGAAAAAGTTGAGAAAGGAGGAATAAAGAGCATGGTAGAAGTTATAAATATCTATACCTATATCTATACACATAGATATAAGATAGAGAGATATACCATAGCTCAAACAGAGATACTACTGGGGAGAAGAGAAAGCAATGGAGGTTTTCGTAGGTATGTAGAACTGGCAAAAAAAGATTGGAAAATATAAACTGCATGGTTAGATTTTTGCAGAGGACATGTGCTGAGTTCTGGGATGGTCCCAGAGACTAGGCAAGGTGAGTAGAAAAGGCAGAGTGAAACATTCGATTGTCTGGCAGAGCTTTGGAGACAAAGTCCCGTTAGAGGGAGGAAGCCTGCAACAAACACACAAAACAGAGCTCCTCTTCAAGACATTTGCCAAATTTTAAATATGCAAAGGATAATAACTAAGTTTAAAATCTGCAAAAGGCAGAACTTTCAAGGCTGAGAAGAAAGAGATATCCAGGGTATCAATCAAAAGCCCAAGTGGACCAATCCTGAAGAATGGGGATGAACAAGAGATGGACTGAGTCGTACTAAATCTGCAGCCCAGCTCAAGACCAGATTAGACTGACTAGCCTTTCACTCTATCTGACAAAAGATAGGAAGCGTCATTACTGAAGTAAGGTATTACATGAGGCCTCTACAGTTAAATACAATGTCCAACATACAAAAAAATTGCTAAAAATATGAAGAAGCAGAAATATGTGATAGTAATCTAAAAAGAAAAATAAGATGGAAGACCCAATAGATGATCCTTATATTGGAGTTAGAAGACAATGCTTTTAAACAAAGGGTGATAAATTTTAAATAAAATAGAGAAAAAGATGGGCAAAATGGATGAGAAATTTTCAGCAGAGAATTGGAATCTATAAAAAGAGAATTTAAAAAGTGTCCCTAATGTGCCTTAAGAATAAGATTTCCTTGTTTTGTATAACAGCTTTAACTGCAAGACCATCAGAGGATCCCATTTTACTGGTACTCTTGTTCCTAAGACTATAAGCACTCTAAGTTAGCTAACAAAAACAGCTAAACAAAGTCTTAGTAAGTTTAGGGATTCATCTGGTGGCATAGTGGTTAAGTTCACGTGCTCCACTTTGGCAGCCTGGGGTTCACAGGTTTGGACCCTGCACGCAGACCTTACACGCTCCTCATCAAGCCATGCTATGGAGGCATCCCACATACAAAATCAATGGGGAAGGCACCATTTTTTTTGTTTGTTTCTAGAGATAAGGTCATCCCCTTTCTTCTTCCTGGTACAGAGAGGGAGGCACCTTTACAGATAGAGATTTACCTTACAAATGTAAATGTGTCCTAACAAAGGGCAAGTTCCATTCCTCTAGGAACTCTTAATCAATGCCAAAGGCAAGGACTTAAATATGCATAATAATCTTATTCCTGTTTCTGGTAACTTCCTGTAACTGACTCCCCCCTCCCCCAACATCCTCCTTTGTCTTTAGCTGGATATGATATTTAAGGTGGGGGCTTCAGCCATTTTGGTGAGTTGCTCAGCTTGCCTGAGCCTCCCATGTATACATGTTATAAAGCTTCCTTTAATTTTCTCCTGCTATTCTGTCTCATGTGAATTTAATTCTTTCTCCAGCCAGACGAACCAGAGAGGGTAGAGGAAATGTCTTCCTCCCCTGCAAGTCCTTGAGTAGGACTGGGGAGTGGCAAAAAGCTCTCTCAATGCAGCTGCTCTAGTCTCACCCTTTAGTCAGAAGAGGGTTTTAGGAGATCTCTTCAAAGGAAGAGAGCAGTCCACTGAGTGAGGCCCCAGAAGGAACTCAACAGGCACTAAAGGAAGAAGAGGAGCAAGAGGAATGAATAACTGAATAAAGGTAGGAGCAGAGCATGGGCAACGTGACCTACATCCAGAAGTTCCATCAAGTCACTCTTTAGGCATCTATTTCCATTTAGTGAAAACCAACAGGACATACGTTTCTGGGGGTGTGCAATGGCTCATTAATCACAGACGAAAGGGCTGTTCTCTATTGTCTTCCCAGGTAGGGCTCTCATTACTAAAAACAGGACCTAAAAGCTTAAGAGAACTACCAAGCAGAATAACAACTACAGCCTTCTTCAGTTAAATCCTGTTCTAGCTAATTCTCCTTGATTCACAGGAGGGTGAGGGAAGATAGTAGGAGCAAACATCAAGGGTGTTCTCTTACGACTCTACTGGGAAGGTGAAATAAACCATCCTGGAGCTTGGTAAGATGAGAAAAGCAGAAGGGCCAGAGTCTA